AGACAGGTGTGATGCAATCTGACTGGGGCAGGTTTCCATTTCATCCATCCTGTAGGGGCAGAGACATGCCCACACAGATGCAGAGGAGGTCATGGTGCATTCCGATTTCACCTCAGATTTAAAATACTTTCTGCAAATGAGGAGACAACGCTGAACAGATTTTTCCCCCACCCACGAACCAACTGCTACTGAATGTACCAGAGATGGTTTTTCCTACCAGCAGAATTACTGTCCTTCTACAAAACAAAAACATCTGCTTATAGACATGATATTTTTTCTAGGTATCTGACCTAAATCCTCCCTGCCACAGAAGACCATTTCATAGACAGCACCCTCTCCATTCATTTGGACTTCAAAAAGAAAAGTAAGGCTCCAAGAAATAGTTCATCGCAGGACTAGGTAAAAGAACCTAATGAATTAGGAGTGGCTGAATATTTCACAGATGTCATTTCTGCCCAACTGTTGCCTTTATTCTATTACAAAACTTGCTGGCAGAGCTCCAGAACTCCAACTGAGTTATTCCTCACCTGCACAGCAACTCCTCAGCTATGCAGTGTAATATATATGCACATGCCTACCCACCCTCCAGGTATCAGACAGCAGATTGGCCTCTTTATCTCTAGAAGGCCATTTGAAATATCAGTGGACAGTCATCCCCGCCACACTCTGAGCTTGTTCTGCTCAGAACATGTTAATCCCAAATGCTGAGAGTGACTTCATAATGTGTTTATGACAGTTCATAAATGAAGGCTTCCAGAAGCTAGCTACTTATCATTCCTCCGCTCTTTGCTATAGAAAAGGCTGGTTTGACCACTAAATCCATGGCCACAATGTAGATGAAAACAATGTGCTGCTTCAGGACCAATGGAGAAGGATGTTGCGTAAAAAAGTCACTGTGCAGTCACGGTCCATGTAGTTCATGGAAGCAAAGAGGGGAATAATTAATCTGTAGTTGCTGTTCACAAGCTATGGTTCACGGAAGTCTGGAAGACAGCAGTGCAGAATCCTCCTCTGAGTTTCTAGCTATGTTTGCAGTTGTTCAGACTTAACCCTGCAGGGTGGGGAAAGAAAAAGCCTGGATACCTGCAACAGTAACTGGAAACTCAGAAAGGCAGCCAGCCCCTCTGCCTCCTTTAGAGGGCACTGTTATACAAGGGGAGAAGAGAAAAAGCTGCCCCCTCCCACCATCAAGGGACAAACGAAGCTACAAGCAGAATATTTTGCTGGGGACTGGAGCTGCCTGTAGGAAAGGCCTAGGCAGAGAAAGGAAATACATCAGCTGTGAAGTACAAGCAGGGAAGAGGAAGATTAGCCAAATACAAGCTGTGCAGAGAAGAGGAACAGAAAAGGATTAGGTGATAATGATAAAGGAGTGGAGATGGGGTGAGAAGAATGAAAGCCATGAGGACTAAAAACAAAAGATCAGTGGTTTGTACAGAAATCAACTGGGCAGGTTGCTCTCTCTCTTCTTATGTGCGATGTGAAGGCACATGTAATTTGAGCAGGAGCAAAAAAAAAAGTCAGTTCTCCAAAGAAGCCCATCCCATCTGTCAGAACTGGGTAAGGAACCTGATGTACCCATATGCACAATCTTCAATCTTGTGGAAACACCCACTGGGTGGACAGGCAAACCAGATTCCCTTCTGAAGAGCTGTGGAATTTGTATTTTCTGACAAGACAATGCAATGCAATTTACTGAAGCTGTTTCTTAAAAACATTCACATTTTGAATGCTTCATGCAAGTTCAGATATAATGGGAGGTGTTCAATTTACTGCAACAGCCATAAAGAACATACACAAGAGAGCTGGCTCAATTGTCTCCATAGAAACAGGAATCAGTGAATGAGAAAGCCAGCAGAGAAAAAGTAGCAGCAGTTAAACATAGGAGGAATGAGAAGGAGGATCGCCCAAGAGCAGAGGCTTCCTTCTCTTATGTCTTTTACCAAAAAGAAGCATCTCCTTGTCTTTTACTGCCCTTTTCTCCCAGCGGGGATTTCTGGTCTGATCTTCCCCTTTGTCTATTGTTTCTGCTCATTCATGGAGCTCTTCCTTTTTGCTCTGGCTTGTCTGCCTTTACTTTACTTACCATGTTCCTTCACTGTGCCTTTTTGTTCAACCCAATGTGGCTGCAGCAGAGAAACTGCCTGCACTACTCCCTCCACATAGCTGCGCTTCCAACAAGCTTGTGGGAGAGTTTCTGCCACCACTGCTCCTAGCTGGATCATGCAATAAAACCCATTTTCTCTTCCTCTTATGGCCACAACTAGCTGGAGTAAGGTTTCTCATTCACCTGCTCCTAGTTCACTGTTCACAGCTGCAGCCACCTTCCTGATCCACGGGTAAATGACCCTACTCTCCACCGGCCTGGGATTCTCCATGATATGGAGCATACTACACACGACTCTGCACAGCTCAGTTGTTAGACAACATGGTCACACAGCCACAGCTGGTTTGGCACACACAAAAAAAGCTTCCTACCTCTGTTGAACATAAGTGAAGGGCAAGAATCCAGACTGCAGTATATGCCAACGTATTTTTTCTTCAGCCCCTACTTTTCTTACAAAAGCCTAGCACATATAGTCTTCCACATCAGTGACTGAGGCAAAGGAGCTCCTTGCATACAAGCATGCATGGACCCTGGAGGGCCATTTCTTATTCTGAGGGATATATTCTAAGGCAGCGTTTCTCAACCAGTGGGTCGCAAGAATATATGAAAGGGTCGTGAACAAACTTTAAAAATGGATCAACAAACTTTAGAAATAGATTTTCTTTTAAAGGAGAAAAGTGTGGGAAACCATAGCTTTTCCTTTGCAGGCTGGCAGAGTTCCCCCTAGCCCATATACCCACCCCCTGCCCCGAATGCTGGGGGGCAGTGGATCAGGAGTGAGGGGCACTGGGTCGGGACTGGCCACTGATGGTTATAAATGGGTCCCGGTACAAAAAGGGTTGAGAACCACTGTTCTAAGGCAGTGTTTCCCAACCTTTTTTTTTTTTGTGGACTAGCATGGGAGGGGGATGAGGCACACAGAGCTGGCTGCCTCCCTCCTGGGGTTGCTCCCCCACCTAGCACGTGACTGCTGGCAGTGGAAGCTGCTCGTCTGGGCAGACAGATGGGGATCCACACGGCGGGGGGCTCATCCCACAACCTGACAGCAAACCCTTTGCGGCCTGGTACTGGGCAACAGCCCGGTGGCTGGGAACCTCTGTTCTAAGGTATCTCTTCTTCTCCCAGCACTGCAGCCTACCAGCTGAACGCTTACTTACTTGCTGCACTGTGTTAGATAGGGAAATCAACCCCACTCCAGTGCTTAATAAGGGATCTTGGGATTCTTCAATGTGAAAGTGTTCAGTGCAAGATGCTATCACAGCAGTAAGCAGAGGGAAGGACCAAGGGAAAACTGGGCCAGTGAAGCAGGACACAATGGCTTTTTGCTACTTATAGTGATTTCTGGCTCCTCAGTAGCAGAGAAGCCCAGTTTCTCAGCTCTGAGGCAGCACCAAAGTAAATGCAGAGAGAAAAGCTGTTATGAGCACACATGCTGCTTTAGAACAGCAGTCCGCTGGAACAACCTGGCTTGGGACTGAGGCAGACTGGTATTTGACCTGGCTGCCATGGCTCCTCTCTGCCTCCACTTCTCCCTGACTTCTGACTGCAGCAGGGATGCGAGCAAAGCCCCCCACTGCTGCAAGACCACCAGAGGCCTCTGTTGACATAAGGCTGCCACAGGCCCCTCCCCAGCTGCACAGGACAGGTGTGGCCTATGTTGCTGACCCCTGTTGTTCTAGATAGCACTCCCCACCTGCTCCTTAACCTCATTCCCACCTTGCCACCGTGAAACATCACAACTATAAAATACAGTACCTGAATTTAATTTACTTTAAGAATTCTGATGATCATTTACACTTTGCCAATCTATGGTTTCAAATGTAATATAGTGAATCATGTTATTACACATATGAGTACACCAATCACTGATGTTTCTAAATGCTTTCACTACATACTGACTTCATAATCAACTTCTTTATTCCTTCCACAAGGAAAAAAAATATACTGTTCCCTTCAAAAATATATATATGTTAAACTAACCACCTTCCCACATGGCACTGAGGGATCTGCTGGTTTCCAAGGTACTGGTTCGATAGTCATTCTGCAGGTCAAAGCTCTCATGTGATGGCACCATCATTCTTCAGTTATCACAGTACTGTACCTTTCACGTATACAGCACCGGTACCATGATAACCGAAAAAGGACAGTTCATGGTCTAATTGATACCATCCCCAGACATGCGGTCTTTTCTTCCACTTCCCCTCTAAGGGGCACAGCTTGATCAGTTCAGTTTCTGGAGTTGTCTAGCCAACTGTTGTCAGCTAGCTATGGTGGGAAAAAAAAGTCATGCCCTTTGCTCTGAGGTTTGTGTTTCAAACTGCTATCGTGGAAAACCAAGCATTTCTCTCTCACAACTGGCAACTGCCAGAGACATATAATACATGTATAAAAATATATTTAAAGAAACAAGAATACAGTGCAGTCTGTGACAGTTCTAAGACTCTGAGGTGCTGGGAGTCCAAGTCACATATTTAAGAAGTTTCTCTTTGATATTTATGCCCTGACCTGAGCATAATCTTTGATGTTAGTCAGCCATATTCCATTCTATGCAACCCTTATGAAGAGATAATTAGGAAAAATGAGAGATTATGCTAGGCAACAACAACAAAAATGTAATTGACGTGTATACAGTCCAAGATCAAGGAACAACAATAAACCCATCTCTACAAGTTTAATTGCTTCAGAATCAGGAGGAATACAGAAGAGTAAAGAAGTCTTCTAGTGTGTAAAAATAAACACTAAGTAACTCATGATGTCTGGTTCATTTTAAGGATCAGGACAACTAGTTCTGTTCATAGCCACAGGCACAGTGTTCCATACAAAAATACCTGTTATTCTATATAATTAGCAAATTAAATGAGATTGGGTTGTTAGGCTGAAGAAAACAACTTACGTGTATGGAGACAGTGGCCCTAGCAGGACTTTGGAAACATCCTGCTGTCCGAGGGTCATGAGGAGCAGAACCAGGCTCTGGTTTGTTGAATCTACGCAACCTCCCTGCGAAACACCAACATTTTAATAATTAATCTTTGTACAAACCAGAAATTAGGGGAAAAATGGAGGGACGTTTACTTAAAATGCAGAACTGCCATGAAGCTTACGTTTCAAGGGTCAAAAGATAAAAATCCAGATTTTGTAACAGTAACAAATTAACTTGACAGGCATACCAGGAAAGGGAGCCAAGTTAGAAATCATAGGAAAGTTTTTTCCTGTAATCTATCCCCTATATTTCTATCCCCACTGCTGCTGATAAACATCAGAAATTTTCTGGGTGCTTAAAAAAAACAACCCAAAGGGGAGAAAGGAATATATTTTTTTCATTTCACTCATCTTCATCAAGTGAAAACAGATTAGGCACTTTCAGGTTCACATGTACTAGTAATTTACTTGGTATAATTAGGTTATAAAATTTAACATGAATGCTTAAAGAGGGATACTGAGCCCTACACAGCTTGAAAAAAGTGAGCTAAAGTAGCTGAAGGTACACCTGCCCAAGCCCCCGTTGTCTGTTTTCGTAGTTTTGATTCTTCAGTTTTTCTATTTGTAGAAAACCTCTCTGTAGAACTGCCCAAAGTCCTTTCAAGTATACAACAATCAAAACAAAAGGAGGGAGGAAGAATTAATATTTTTTGTTCATCTTGGTCACCTATAATAGACAAAAGTAAAAAATGTTTCAGGCAAAAATATCATTTTGAAGTTGACACTGTCCCTTTAAAAAAAAGCAGCAGAAAAAAACTGACTGGATAATTTGAAATAGTCATGAAAGACAGGGCTTTGTAAAATTTTGTTTTATTTCAAGAACCTAAATTCTGGTTCTCAATTACTTGATAGTATCCCCTTAATAACAATGCAGTCTAGTTGCCTTAGAAAAGCCTGCAGCCTTAGTTTACCTAGGTGAAACTCTCTTGGTAGTGGAACAGCAGGGAGTACGTTTCTGCATACAAACCACTAGACAGTAAAACCTGATTTAGCCTGATCTCACCTGGCTTGAACAATTTATCAAAGCTTGCATTCAGACTACTCAACCCCCAATATTAGATGGCCCTGAAATCTTTCAAATAAATCAAGCTGACCTATGATAAATACAGAGCAACTACCATAGCTGGCAACTTTTCAGATTTCATCACGGAGGCGCTCTATCTAGATGAGTTCAAAGACAGTGTACAAAACAAGCAAACATATGGACATACGGAAGGAAAAAACTGTCATAAAGTTAATCTGGATTTCTTATAGATGGCTTAGGTCAAAGTCCCTGAAATCAATGGACAAACTCCTATTGACTTAAAGACCTGATCCAAAAATCTACTGAGTGGCTCTCATGAGTGGTTATTTTTTCTGAATACCACAACCATTTCAAGAAGTGGTACACATGACTGTATATGTGTGTAATTATGAACTGGATATATGGCAAGGAAAAATCTTCTGATTATCATCATTTTCTTTTCAGAGTATTTTGCTGCCACCCTCCAAAAATTCAAAGAAACCAAAATACATAAAAGTGGAAAACAATAATGAACAGGATCATTTTAGTGCTGAGCTGGCTTAGGCAAAATGACAGGATGAAAAGGAAATACCTTTACAAACCTTTAGGGCAAAAGAGTTCCTAAGAGATTATCGTTCAATATGGCATCACTCCCATTCCACAGATCAAACTACTGCTCTGAATAAACATCAAGCTTCTGAGGGCACGTCCTTATTTGGACCTCTAGTATAGCCTGAATCTCACAGTGATCAAAGCTCTACTGATCTTTCAGGCCAGAAACTGCTAATCATGACTTCCAATCAGAAATACTCCTTGGAGTAACCCCTTGTGTTTTAACCACAAAGTCCCACAATACCTCAGTTAAACCCTAGATCCAATGTCATGCACAATTATTCATTTATGTGAACAAGATTATAATCTACTGGTTCTACTTGGAGTGGTAATACCTACAATCAGACATATGGGGCAGACAATTTTCCAGTGCTTTATTTTTCCGTGGAAAATTTTCCATTTCTAAAAATTCATTGTTTCGTTAGTAACAATGAATGGATGCCTATACGGTATTAGGCAAGCTTGGGGGGGCAGCAGAGAATAAGTCTTCTCTCACATGGTGGAAGGGCTACTGTAACACCTGACTGTTGTCCAGGATAGCTCTGAGGATCCCAAGCATTCCACCAACAGCAGCTTCTTGTGAATGGAACTGGAAGGCTTTCACCTCAATCAAGACAAAAAAGAGGAACAGACTAACAAACAAATGCACCGCTAAGTTTGTTTTTATTTCTCAAAATCTCTTGCTTCTGGAGAATCAGTCGGAAGTACAATTAGTGAAGAAGATGCAGCGTGATGATAAGCTGCCCTTGCCCATAGACTCACTGGTAAAACCATCATTTAGCAAAAGAGAATGTGGTTCAAATAGTTCTGAATCAAATGCGCCTAAATCTGATTCGGAAATGGAACTAATAAGTAGTGCAAGTGATTCTACACATAGTGACAGTGAAACTGGAGGTGCTGCAAGGACCTCAGTGGCAGAGAGTTAAACTCTGTTCAAGTAGATGAGTGGACAACCGTGGCATATCATGCACGGTTATCTGGGTGTGTTAAAATTAGTGTGTCAACAGTTTTCAGTGCCTTCATTTTTTTTCTTAAATTTAAACAAACAGTTAGTTTCATAGGTGTTAGGGTGCGAAGGGACCTCAATAGATCACTGAGTCTGACCTTCTGCCCTGGGCAGGAAAGAGCACTGGGGTCATATGACCTCAGCCAGGTGCTTGTCCAGTCTTCTCTTAAAGACTCCCAAGGTAGGGGAGAGCACCAGCTCCCTTGGAAGCCCATTCCAGATTCTGGCAACCCTCACTGTAAAGAAGTTCTTCCTGATGTCCAACCTAAATCTGCTCTCTGTCAGTTTTTGGCCATTGTTCCTGGTTATTCCAAGGGGTGTCCTGGTAAACAGAGCATCTCCTATTTCTTGCTGCCTCCCCTCCTCCCCCCCCAATGAATTTGTAAACATCCACAAGATCCCCTCTCAGCCTTCTCTTACAGAGGCTGAAAAGAGCCAGGTCCCTTAGTCTCTCCTCATAGGGCCTTACCTGCAGGCCCCTGACCATGCAAATGGCCCTCCTCTGGACCCTCTCAAGGTTATCCACATCCCTCTTGAAGTGTGGCACCCAGAACTGGACGCAGTACTCCAACTGCAGCCTGACCAAGGCTGCATAGAGGGGAAATGTTACCTTCCTGGACCTGTTTGTGATGCACCTGCTAATGTATGATAGAGTGCAGTTCGCTTTGCTGATTACTTCGTCACACTGACGGCTCATATTCATCTTGGAATCAGCTATGACTCCAAGATCCCTTTCTGCCACTGTGCTGCTGAGAAGGTCAACCTCTAGCCTATAGGTGTGTTGGTGATTCCTTCTCCCTAGATGCAGCACTTTGCACTTGTCTTTGTTGAACTGCATCCTATTCTTTTCTGCCCACTTTTCCAACCTGACCAGGTCTGCCTGGATTTGATCCCTTCCCACTACTGTGTTTACCCCATAATTTCATGCCATCCACAAATTTGGACAGAGTGCTCTCCACACCCTCATCCAAGTTACTGATGAAGACACTGAATAGTACAGGTCCAAGGACCGAGCCTTGGGGGACCCCACTGCCCACATCTTTCCAGGTCGATGCCAACCTGTCCACCATCACTCTCTGTGTATGACCCATAAGCCAATTTGCCACCTGCCTGACAGTAATGTAAGGGAAGTACATGCTATTGTGTACTGTTTTTACATTTTTACAAGAATTAAAATAAAAATTTCTTTCCACATAAAGCTTTGAATTTGTTTGAATTGCTGTATTTAATTTTTTTCCTAATCAAATATTTCAGTTAAAAAACTTGTGGCTATTGGGACATAAAATTAACATGGGGGGTACTTTGTTAGCTTTGCTTACTAAATACAAGTGAAATAAACATGCTAAATCAGATCACACTCTATTTAGGGCATTGAAAAATTTTCCAGAACATTTTCTAATTCAAAATTTTCTGGAAAACCCACATCTCTGCCTATAATGAAACAAATTAGCAAGCCAACCTTCAAGACATGGATAAGGACTAGGTCAGGGCAGGTCTTGTTGCTGAACAGGACTTCCTGCATGACCATTAGGTAACCTTTTAAAGAGCTCTTTATTGATAGGGTAAAGCTACATCCTCTTCCCTGGCTTCATTTTTCCCTCTATGACTTCACATCACGGAACTTCATTTACCTTTATAACCACAGTAGCGTACAAGGCTTCTGATTAGGACTGCAAAGAATAAACACAGGAGGGCAGAACATCCATCCAGTATGTCTTGGGCAATTATATCATCTCTATCATCATTGTGTATCTAAGGCACTTCTGTCACATGCATCACTGCGAGGAAGGGATGTATGTATCCCATTTTACAGATGGACACTTGAGACACAGGGGAATTAGGTGGCTTGGCTAAGGAAGACCCTGAAAAACCCTTGCACTTTGTCACTTGAACCCTAGACAAGTGTCCTAATCACTGAACTGCCCATCCTCACTTCATCTGCCGCCCACTTACCTACACATTCTTTGACATAATGTGCGTCAAATAGGACCTCTCCGGTGCAAAACACTAGGGATAGGGGAGACCAGGGGTGCTCAATCTCTGGCCCACAGACCAAATGCAGCCCGCAGAACTATTGCATCTGGCCCATGGGGCTCCTCATGGATTGGAAAATGTGGTGGGGGGGGAGTGGGGGCCACTAATATGGCCACCCTCCCCCTGCCAAATTCCCAAACCCCAATTTCCACACAACCAGTCAGAGCCAGGCCGAGACCCCCTCCTCCAGCAGGTTAGGCCATACTCTCCCCCTCGGGGCCAGGTTGTGCCTGGGTCACATCCCCTCCCCCCTGCAGGGCTGGGTCAAGTCACCTTGCCCCCCAGGAAAAGCAAGTTGGAGCCTAGCCATGCCCCCTTCACACCCCCTGGCTGTGTTACATCTCCCCCAAGGGGCCCAGCGAA